GAAGATAAGCCCTGAGCTAACATCCACGCCAATCCTCCTCTTTTTGCTGAGGAAGATCAGCCCTGAGCTAACATCCACGCCAATCCTCCTCTTTTTGCTGAGGAAGACCAGCCCTGAGCTAACATCTATTACCAATCCCTCTCCTTTTTTCGCCCCCCTTTTTCTCCCCAAAGCCCCAGTAGATAGTTGTACGTCATAGTTGCACATCCTTCTAGTTGCTGTATGTGGGATGCAGCCTCAGCATGGCTGGACAAGTGGTGCATTGATGCGCGCCAGGGATCCGAACCCGGGCCGCCAGCAGCGGAGCGCGCGCACTTAACCACTAAGCCACACGGCTGGGCCCTCTCTTCTCTTCTCTTCTCTTTTCTAGGGCAAAAACAGTGAAGGTTTCTCATCTCCTACACTTGATCATGAGACTTCATCTCAGATATTTAAGAAATCTTCACTATGAATGAAGGCACTACTTTTTACACATTTTTTATTTTAATATACATACAAAAGGGTATCAAGAGTATGGCTTGATGAATTTTCACAAGGCAATCTACCCAGGTACACAGCACTCTGGATAACAAGAACATTACCAGCACCTTTCACATCTCCCTGGGGCCCCTTCCAGACACTATCACCTCCCCAAGCGTAACTGCTATCCTACTGGTTCTCAAGTGGAGGGATTTTGTCCCCCCGCCCAGGGGACATCTGGCAATGTCTGGAGACATTTTTGGTTGTCACGCCCTGGGGGAAAAGGGGCTCCTAGCACTTATTAAGAGGCCAGGGATTCTGCAAAACATCCTACAATGCACAGGACAGCCCCTGACCCCCCCAAGCCAATAAAATATTATCTGGCCCCAAATGACAATAGTGCCAAGGTTGAGAAACTTCAATCTAGAGCATTCTTGTTTTGTGTCCACAAAAAGTTATATCCGAGAATGTTGATAGGAGTTTTATTCATAATTCAAACATCCAGAAACACTCCAAATGTCTTATTCAACAGGAGAATGGTTTGCCCTGATGGCCTCTTGGCTAAAGTTCAGTGCACTCCGTTTTTTGGCGGCGCAGGTTCTGTTCCCGGGCATGGAACCACACCACTCGTCTGTCAGCTGCCATGCTGTGGTGGCAGCTCACATAGAAGAACTAGAAGGACCTACAATTAGAATATACAACCATGTACTGTGGCTTTGGGGAGGAAAAAGAAAAAGAGGAAGATTGGCAACAGATGTTAGCTCAGGGCGAATCTGTCCCAGAAAAACAAGAAAAAACATTATATTGAGGGAAGGAAGCCAGATATACCAAAGCAAGAAAACAAACCAGGCTGCTTGATTCCATGTAGAAGAAGAAAAAAAAAAAGAGGCAAAAGAAATCTATTGTGATGAAAACAACAAAGCGGTGTCCTCTGAGGGTGGTGGTATGGAGGAGTAATGAAATTTACCCTTGGTTTGGGTCTTGGTTACATAGGTGTAATCAATTGCCAACAGGCATGTACCCTATGTAGTGACGTTACCTCACCCAAGGAGAGGTACTGAGGTCAGAGGTCTCCTTCCAACAACAGTTCCTCCCCAAGAAAGTGCTTTTTAAAGAATCTAGTGTTGCTTCAGGCCAAGGCCCACAGAAATTCTACTGGCTCATCCACCCCAGCACTACAATCTGTTGAACACTTGCAAGTCCTGTCATGACGGTGTGCAAATGGATTTCTGTCATCATCTCATTTAATATCATATGTAGTATGTGGTACAGGTCTACACCAGTCACTCCAGAAATTGTAATAACCTCTTCTGATTTAATCCATGTCAATATATTTTGCTAAACTGAAGGTTCGATCTACTCAGTTTGGATAAGCACCTCCAAATCCATGCTACAAACATTTCCTTGATTAGGATGAGAATCTTAGTGAATGCTTTTAATGATAATCTTGAGTGTCATTCATACCTTCCTTTATTATCCTCCCACAATTCAAACTCTGGGCAGCATTTCAATCAGGTTCTGGTTACCAGCCAGGCAAGCAGTGGGGATGGACGAGGAGAGGCGGGGCGTCCTCAGATAAGGACCAGTTAGACAATGGGGTTGAAAGATCTCTAGATCCCCTGAATCCTGACAGATGCACCTATTCCAATAACAGTGATCTCAGTCCTTTTCATCAAATGCTCTCAACATCATACAAGCTACCAAGCATAGGTATAAACTGAATTATCAGTCTAACTAAGAAAACCATGGGACCCTTGTCTGAATTTTTATAGTAATCACAGCCATAAGGCTTACAGCAATACGAGATTCTTTCAACAGAATTGCATGAAGACCCTGAGTTCAAGTCAATGAGTTAAGGCCTTCCATTCATTCATTTATTTGTTTACTTGATAAGTATCTATTAATGACCAACAACACCTAAGGCACATTTCTAAAGACTGGAGAAAATTCTTGACCTGTGGAGATCACATTCTGGCACTGGGAAGATACACAATAAACAATAAATAGGTAGTATAATCAATGAGTAAAATAAGGGTTATGGAGAAAAATAAAACAGGGAAGGGGCAGAGCACACTGCTGGAAAGAATCAAATGTCATCAATAATTTCTGGGGGAGCAAAACTCCCCAGTATCCTGACTTTCACAAGCACGTGAATTTGCAGGTCTTTCCTCTTTGACTTGAATGTACTTTCTCAAGGTGTCTTGGAAAACTCCTACTCATTTTCCAAAGCCCAGCCCATGTAACATTTCTCTGAGAAACCCTCTGGATTTCAGAACCATTCAGTGCTGAATTCATTCCCTTCTTGAACTACAGACACTGCTCCTTTTCTTGCACCACTTTGCACATTGTACTCTGGGGGTGCACATGCAGTCTGAACTCTGTAACACCTAATTCTCTGTCCTTTGCCCAGAATCTAAATTAGATGACCACTTGTTATTTGGATGAGTCTTGTCATTAAGGAAAAGTAAGGCAGTGTCATGAAGCTGGGGGTGTATGTGGTCACTTGTTTATCTTTTTTTTTTTTTTTTTTTTTTGTGAGGAGGACCAGCCCTGAGCTAACATCCAATGCCAATCCTCCTCTTTTTTGCTGAGGAAGACTGGCCCTGGGCTAACATCCATGGCCATCTTCCTCTACTTTATATGGGACGCCGCCACAGCATGGCCTAACAAGCGGTGCGTTGGTGCGCACCCGGGATCTGAACCGGCGAACCCCGGGCCGCCGCAGTGGAACGTGCGCACTTAACCGCCTGCGCCACCGGGCTGGCCCCACTTGTTTATCTTAATGGACCTGAAGCAACACCTGGGAAAGACCTGAGGAACAGGAAAGTTAGCACCAAACCACAAAATCCAAGTGTTGGGTCTCACCCAGGCCTCACTTACCCTCATCTGAGGCCAGATGGGTTTTTACTCTCCCTAGGAACTTCCCACGGTGGAAATCTTGCTATGGATTAACATAGCACATATGGCAGCACGAGGCCCTGGAAAAATACTTGGTGAAAGCATGCACAGTCCAGAAGTCCACTGCTAGCTCTCTACCCTGCAGATATTCTTGTAAATGCGCCCAGAAGACATGGAGAACATTCTCCGTAGATTTTTTGAAATGGTATAAACTTAGAAACGACCAACCCAAATGTTCATGAACAAAGGAATGGAGACAACTGCTGGTACATTTGTACAGTGCAGTTACGCTGTGGTAAAGAGGAACCTCATTTAATGTATACGTGAATCTGAAGATCAATTTAAGATGCAAGTCACAGAAGAATGCAGAGTGTGATTCCCTTTATTTAAAGTTCAAAACCAGGACAAAGTAGACATATCTCTTAGGATTACATCCATAGGTGATAAAACAATAAAAAGCCAGAGAATTGTAATGTAACTTTGTGAACTAGTTACCTGAGGTACTGAGAGTAAGAAACCAATGGCATTTCGAGGACACTCTGTGGATTCTAAGGTACTGGTAATATTCTCCATCTTAGCTTGGTTGGTGAGTTCATGAGCATAGTCATGCTCTGCATAATGACGTCTCGGTCAACGATGGACCATATGTACAACAGTGGTCCCATAAAATTAGTACCATAGAGCCTATGTGTGTAGTAGGCTATCCCATCCAGGTTTGTGTAAGTAAACTCTATGATGTTCACACAATGACAAAATCACCTAACCATGAATTTCTCAGAACGTATCCCTGTCGTTAAGTGACAGATGACTGAAATTATTCTTCCTCTCTAAACTGGCGCATGTATTTTACAAATGCTTTTATATGTGCATTTAACAGAAATTCAAGGAAAAAATCCTATGTGCTCAGTTGAGGAATATCTACCCCAACATCTATCTATGATATCCCTTATATCTATCCCTGGTGATGCTCCTTTGTGTCAATCTCTACCATCTCTCTATTCTTGTGCATAGGCAATAAACACAGTGAGGAGATCCTTAAGATACAGCAACTGTAGGGAGCGTGGAAGAAAATTCAGGTAAGGACATCGTGGTCAGGTAATTCAAAGCTACATTTGGGACCCTATCTGGGCACCATTTTTAGGATGCAAAGCATTTACTAGCAGCTACTTGTTGTTTCACGTTGGGCAACATCAAAGTCCATCCCATTTGAAGGAAGTTCTCTACTGCATCTCAACTCGGTAGGACACAGTGTCTCTCCCGTTAGGACAAAAGCAAAAGCCAAGAGATGATCTTTGCCTAGTCTTTGGCAGTCAGGACACAAGCACTGTAATCCTGGCTCTGGGACAGTAAACGTGAGGTCACATTCACTAAGGGCCAGCAAAGTTTCATTTGTAAAACACTACTGCTCATTCGTGGTGGTGGCAGTGTAGGACCTGTAAAGGAGCAGGCCAGAGCTTTCCAGATCATAGGGTCATGGTTTCACTTCCCGCTTTTCAACCTGATTTACTTTGGTTCCTCTCCATTTTCAAAGGTGGTTCATTTCTATCCCATCCATTCAATGAGCTCTTGAGACACTGTCAATAAATTGCTTTTCTAAGAGGGTCAGAGTCAATTTACGCTACTTGTTACCAAGATCTTGACTGTTAAACAATGAGAATATAAACATTTTCAAGTCTTGTTGGCTTTGGTGAATATCCTCCAATATGAATTCGCCAGTGTTGAGTGAGGTGAGACCTGCATCTGAAGGCCATCCCACACGTGAGGCAATCCAAGGGCTTTTCACCAGTGTGAATTCTCTTATGTTGACAAAGTGATGACCAAGTATTAAAGGCCTTCCCACATGCATGGTATCCAAAGGGTTTCATGCCACTGTGTGTCCTATCGTGCATCACAAGCGAAGAGTGGTTACTGAAGATTTTCCCACAAATGTGACATTCGTAGGGCCTTTCTCCTGTGTGACTCCTCCTGTGAATAACGAAATGGGACCGACAGGTAAAGGCTTTTCCACATCCCTGACATTCGTAGGGTTTCTCACCAGTATGAATTCTCCCGTGTGGAGTGAGCTGCACCACACGGCAGAAGGTCTTTTTGCAGTCCTCACAATGATAGGGTTTTTCTCCAGTGTGAGTTCTCTGATGCTCAATCAGGGAAGAGAGATGTATGAAGGATTTCTTACACTTACTGCACTCGTAGAGTTTTTCTCCAGAATGGATTTTCTGATGTCGAATGAGCTGTGCACTCCGAGTGAAGGTTCTGCCATAGTCCTTACATTCACAGGGTTTTTCTCCACGATGAATTCTCTGGTGGTCAATGAAGGCTGAGAAAGAGCTGAAGGCCTTTCCACACTCACTGCATTCATGGAATTTTTCTCTGGTATGCATACTCTGGTGCTGAGTAAGATGAGTCACCTGACTAAGTTCTTCCTACATTCTTTACATTCGTAAGGTTTCTCACCCGTGTGAGTTCTCTCATGCTGGTTAAGTTGTGCCCTCTGATTGAAGGTTTTACTACACTCGGTACATTTATAGGGTCTCTCTCCTGTGTGGATTCTCTGATGTTGAATAGAGTTGGGTGGTGCCTGAAGGATTTCCCACACTCATGACATTGGCAGCACTTCTCTTCCTTAAGAATTTTCTGACAGACAATAAGGTATGTATCGGTGCAGGAAGTTTCTTCATGTTCTTTACATGACTTGCTTGTTTCATTCATCACTATTTCATGTTGGAATGTTTCTTCTTTTATACTCTTCCTTAGAGAGAATTCCTTGCTCTCCCGTATTGACTTGCTCTCTGAAAATGAATACAAAAATATATTAATATAAAGAAATATACATATTCCCACTTTTGAGAATCTATCCTTAGATAAAGGCTCTAATACTCAAGGATATATGTACAAGGACATTTATTGTCAAACTCTACTGGCAAAAAAGCTGGGAAAAAATACATATATTCACTAAAAGTACCTGTTTGAGTTGATGATATTATGTCCAATAGTCTTGCTTATTTATGGAACTATTAAAAATCATGAGTTTTAGCTATATTGACTTGAAGAAATGAAACTGATTGAGAAAATCAAGTTGCAATGTAACAAGTGTAGAAAGATATCTATTTTGTGAAATACTAAACGCTCCCTGGGTGTGTGTGTCTGTGTGTTGTGTGCGTATTAGCATGGATACAGATGCAAATGGACACCTACTATATTATTACCATTGGTCCTTTAGGGTAGTGAGAATAAAAACCTGCAAGGAGATTATTAATTTTTTCCTTTTACAGCATGTCCCCAAATACTTGATAAAACAAACCCACCTTGGTTTTATAGGTTTAGAATAAGATTTTTAATATCATCACATGCTCTAACTAGCCATCATCCACCGAATCTAATCACTTTGAGAATGAAACATTCATAAAATGACACAAAGTACACATCTATTTGTATGGATCATGAATGATACAAAGTTTCAGAGACTGGATAGGCAGATATTTGGAAGTAGGGCCTTTAAAGAGGTAAAATTGGGTCACTGGGGGGCCCCTAATCCAATATGACTGGTGTCCTTGTAAGAAGAGATGAGAACACAGAAACACAGAGAGGGATGACCATGTGAGGACATAGGGAGGAAATGGCTATCTACAAGACAAGGAGTGAGGGCTCAGGAGAAACTAATCTTGCCGACATCTTGATCTTGGACTTCCAGCCTCCAGAACTGTGAGGAAATAAATGTCTGTGTTTACAACCCCCAGTCCATGGAACTTTACTACAGCAGCCCTAGCAAACTGATACAAGGGTCTTGCCTAGAACTGAAGTTAATTCTCCTCCTCTCTATCACAGCATAATTTGAAGACTCTGGACTACTTGATCATTCTGCAGACTATCACACTGGTCCACTATATTGATAACATCTTGCTCACGAGACCTGAACAAGAGGTGGCAAGTAACCTTGATGACCTGGTAAGACACGTGTGCTCCAGCAGGTGGGAGCACATAGGTGAGCTCTATGAAGACCTGGCACATAGGGAAGATTTTAGGGGTGCTGTGGTCCAGGGCATGTGGCACCATCCCTGCCAAAATAAAGGATAAATTATTGTACCTTGTACCTCCTGCTACCAAGAGAGAGGCACAATGCTTGAAAGGAGGTAGCATATTCCATACTTGGAGATACTGCTCTGATCCACTTAAAGGGCAAGGTGGAAAGTACTAGTTTTTTTTTGTTCTTTTTTTTGTGTCTGAGGAAGATCAGCCCTGAGCTAACATCCATGCCAATCCTCCTCTTTTTGCTGAGGAAGACTGGCCCTGGGCTAACATCGTGCCCATCTTCCTCCACATTATGTGGGACACCGCCACAGCATGGCCTGACTAGCAGTGAGTCAGTGTGCAACCGGGATCCGAACCCGGGCCACCAGCAGCAGAGCATGTGCACTTAACCGCTACACCACAGGACTGGCCCATGAAAGTACTAGTTTTGAGTGAGACCCAGAACAAGGTCCAGGCTATGGTACAAGTAGCTTTGATGCCTGAGCCATTACTGGGCAGATCCCATGGGACCAGAGGTATCTGTGGTAGAAAAAGATGCCATATGGGACCCCCACAGGAGAGTCATACCTCAGACCCCTCCATTTATGCCATCTGCAGCAGAGAACTATACATCTTAAAAATAGCTCTTGGCATGATACTAGGTACCAGGAGACACCATCTGCCTGAGGGACATTGTTATGAACAGAATGTTTGTGTCCCCCACAAGTTCATATGTTGAAATCCTAACCCCCATGGGATGATATTTGGAATTAGGGCCTTTGGGAGGTGATTAGGTCAGAGGGCGGATCCATCATGAATGGCATTAGTGCTCTTATAAAAGACCCCAGAGAGCTCTCTCGTCCCTTCCGCCACACGAGGACAGAGAAGATGGTGTCTATGAACCAGGAAGCGGGCCCTCATCAGACACTGAATCTGCCAGTGCCTTGATCTTGCACTTCCAGCCTCCAGACCACGAGAAATAAATGTTTGTTGTTTAAGTCGCCCAGCCTATGGTATTTTTGTTAAAGCAGCCAGAATGGACTAAGACAGACATCCTGTGCTTATGTGGCCCAAACTGCCAACATGAGCTGGGTACTGTCCAAACCACCAGCTCTCGGGTGGGGTGGACCAGCAGCAATCTTCCAGGAGATGTAAGAGGTGCATCCAGGATCAGGCTTAAACTGGTCCCGAGGTACAGGTAAGCTGCACACGCAAGTGGCCAGACTCCTGCACCGTCCACCACTGATGTGCTGATCCTTGGCCACTCCAATGCTTGTGCCGTACTCACCCTGTTTAAAATTCCCTAATCTTGGCTCCTACTTTGCCAAAGGTATTTCAGAACCTCTCTTTAATTCCCCTTATTAAACAGTAATTCCCTTGATGGGTTATATTCTCTTAGAAAATGCACATTCTTGGCCTTAATTAAAGGATGAATATGTTTGTTAATAGACTAGCTCTTGGACGGATGTATTTATTCAATTGATCAAAGGATGGAATGAGTACTTTTTGGATAGATAAAGAAAACAGAAGCATTGAGGAATGTTTTTGAAAAAACAGCCTTATGAATGAATGAACGAAAGATGATGAGCTGGTGAAAAACAACCTAGAGGGTAAAGGTAGAAAGCTGATCATAAACAAGGGGCAGGACACACTTACATCTGGAGGCCAGAGGGAATTATGAAAAAAGATTTAGCAGCAGGGCGATGAATGAGGATGAAAGGTGGATCCACTGTGGAGCTCAAAGGGCCCTCTGAAGGGAGATGTCCAAACACCTCGACGCTGCTGTAACTCAGGGAGCAGCTGGCCTTCTGCATGGGTAGCCCTCCTTCTGCTTGGTTCCTGACTCACCTGGCCATGGAATTCCTGCCTCCTCGCTCCTCATCCCCCAGGGCTGTTCACCTTGCTCCAAGAGGAGAGCTACATTGGGCTTAGAAATGGAAATGCTTGTGCCAAGAAAAAGATGGCAATTGGCCACGCTGCCATTATCCAAGAATTCAGCTCCACCACCATGGGAATCAGGATAAAAGCCCTTTACAAGAATGACTAGAAGATGTGTACAGGTTTTCTGAAGGATGGGAGAGAGGAAGTTGCCCATTTCTTTTTTTTTTTTTTTTAAAGATTTTTTTTATTCATTTTTTTCCCCCCCAAAGCTGCAGTAGATAGTTGTATGTCATAGGTTCACATCCTTCTAGTTGCTGTACGTGGGACTCGGCCTCGCGTTGGACGGAGAAGTGGTGCCTCGGGGCGCGCCCGGGATCCGAACCCGGGCCGCCAGCATCAGAGCGCGCGCACTTAACCGCTAAGCCACAGAGCCGGCCCTGCCCATTTCTAACTGTGCTCTTCATGGGACATGGAACAAAAGAATAAAGGCCACAGTGGTTCCCCAGATATTTCCACCAGAAGGAGGAAGAAACACCAGGAAATAGATGCTGAATTAAGGGCTTGACACACACACACAGCCATACCAGGTTCTGATAGTTCTCCATCATCACCGCTGTATACAGTTCTCTCTGCGCAGGGTTCAGGAATCCCCACTCTTCCTGGGAGAAGTCGATGGCCACATCTCAGAATGTCACTCATCATTGAAATGGCAAACACTTTCTTACTCACAAAGCCTTGGGAAGACAGCCGAAGCCTCAGCTGAAAGAAACCATGTACTGTATAGGCGTGTGGTGTGGACTACTGGGTCCAGTTTTCCTTCTGCCAAGTACATGTACATGTTACAGACAATGGAAACCAGCTCTTTGGATGGGAAGAAGTATACTGTATTATCTACCAAAATGTTAAAACTCTTCATGGGTTTATGGATTTCTCTTTTTGTAAGTATATTTCATAATTTTCTAGAATACTTCAAAATATATTTTTTTAATTTGTGTGTATATGTGTGAAACGGAAGCTGCTCTCCAACAAGTGAGGAAAAAAGAAAAATCTCATTTCTTTTTCAATTTGTCCTTGGATGTGGGTATTAAAGCTTGAGGCACTTAAAAATCTGCAGTATTCAGGAGGATCTCCATTTTATTATATGACTTTATTCTTTTCATTTCCTAACATCTTTGCTAACTCTCCCTCTTCCATGGCATGTAGCTGGGTTTTAGTCCCATCTGAAAAGCACAAGAACAAGTCAGTCTGACTGTAGGTGACATATACTGGTAATGGTCCCATTGCAGGAAAACAAAAATGAGACCATAACTCACCTGTGATGGGCCTTCCAGTCCAGTGGTTAGTCTCCCCTTCACTGGGCCCCTCTCTTGAGGAACAGAATCCTGTGAATGCAGAGCTGAGGAGAAGGAAGGAATGATGGAAAAAAAAAAAAAAGCCTCAAATCTGTTGCCGTTCCCTCTTATCTACTTCCCCGTCAAACATCAAAATAGAGTGCAGGGTCAGATCACAACACCTTTGTGTGAGCACTAGTGGTTCTGGAAAAAACTGGCCATGAAAACCCTATGAATAGCAGCAGAGCATTGTCTGATAGAGCACCAGAAGGTGAGAGGACGGTGCAAAAAGACCCAGCAGGGTTCCACTCTGCTGTCCACAGGGTCACTAGGCATTGGAATCTACTCAACAGCACTAACAGCAACAAACTGCTTCTCGAAGTTGTGAGAGATCCTGTTGCGATGTCTCAACATCCATTCCTCAGAATGGTCACTGATAATATTGACAATCATAACAACACCTAATGTTCTGGGTGCTTGACATGTGTTACCTTCATGCTCTGTCAGGGCTGAAGCAGCCATTCCTCTCTGTCTAGATGTCTCTCCCTGGAAAGGGCAGAATCCTGAGATGGCAGCTGGGGAAAGAGAAAGGACGGATAAGAGAGACCAGGTCTACTTGGCAGCTCCTTGCATCAATAGTTTAGAAATTCCTCCTTCCGAAAAAATTTAAATAATGTTCAAAAGAGTTCTCAGCATTGTGAATAAGCACAGGAAGAGGTATTCAACACCATTTATCATCAGTGAAATGGAATAGGACAGTGAGAATTAAAACAAAAGAAGAATCCAGTAAAGTAGCAAAATGAAGAATTAATTTGGAGAAATAAATATCCTACATAGACATAAACAATAGAGAACAAAAAGATAAAGAAAACTCCATTCCCAGTGGCAACAAAGAAGATAAAATACTTAGGAACACACTTAATAAAAAGTGTGCAAATCCTATATGATGTAGTCTTCCAAATACTCTTGAAAGACACAAACTAGACTTGAACAAACAGAAAGATACCCCTTTTTCTTGGATAGGAAGATGAAACCATCACAATGATGTCAGTTCCTTAAGAACTGATCGCTGACATAGCAAACACTCTCTTACTCACAAGTGGACACTGTACTTGGTCCGTACATCCTCAGCTAAAGACAAAAAGAAGGGCACCCATATTTAAAGGATAGGTGTGTATTAGCATTTCTGCTACTTGTGCATTCTAGGACTAAGCAAATAAGTAATTATATTGTGCTTAGTGGGAGACAGGTTTCCTCCTGTCACAGAACAGAGTTTTAAATATAGAAAAGCTCAGTGGCGCAAGCGGTTAAGTGCGCACTCTCTGCTGCAGCGACCCGGGGTTCGCAGGTTTGGATCCTGGGCGTGCACGGACACACCGCTTGTCAAGCCATGCTGTGGCGGCGTCCCATATAAAGTAGAGGAAGATGGGCATGGATGTTAGCCCAGGGCCAGTCTTCCTCAGCAAAAAAAAGAGGAGGATTGGCAGATGTTAGCTCAGGGCCGATCTTCCTCACAAAAAATAAAAATAAATAAATAAATATAGAAAAGTGGTGTACTGGAATTGGAGTTATCTGTGAATGCACTGGTTTTAATGTATGTAATGCAGACACACAAACATAGATGTTTGTGCATATGAATCTATTCATTAGGATAGGATATCCTATCTGTCCCTTAACAGGGCCTAGAAACAGTAACACCCAAGTAGTAATGAACACACTCAGCCCCCACATCTTGCTTTCTAAGTACCATTCTCTAACAAAACAAAACAAAATGCACGCTAGGACTCCATGGAGAAATAGAGACTCCAGGGCCGAGTCAGGGATGTGCCTGGAACATCTTGTGGTGCAGGAAAGTAAAGAAGTGCTCATAAAATAACGTGCCACGTCAAAAACACACAGGAGCCAACGTGAAGGTGCTCCCAATGGCTAACCCAGAGACAACGCGAGCAAAACAAAGACTTATATCATTGGTTTATAATCCACAGAATACAATAATTACCACGAGTCCATTCTGATATAAATAAACGAATAAGTAAGTGGAGAAGGAACGGCTTTTCTTTACAGCACACCAATTAATAAATGTAGAAGGAATAAGAGAAATAGAAATTCAACGTTAGGTAACTATCACAGTAATCACTGTTGTAGGCAAGAATGGATGATAAAAATAATGGGTGAAAATGTTTAGAAACAGGATATTCGCAGTCTCAGAGTACCTCCTCTCAACATATTTATTAATTACAAGAACTAAAATAATAACTTTACAAGGGAAAAACCTGTCAGATATCATCTCAACCACGTTATCAAAGTAATCACTCCCAGTTGACATCACGTGCTGCCTGATGTGATGCACTCAGAAAGGCACATCACTGCTATGGTATTTGTTTCCAAAATGGATAACCTCAATCTAATCACGAGAAAACATCAGACCTACGCAAGTTAAGGTCATTCTATAAAATAAGTGGCCTAGACTCCTTAAAAAGTATCAAAGTCATGAAAGACAAAGAACAACTAAGACACTGTCATAAATTGGAAGAGACTAAGGAGACATGACAACTAAATGCAATGTGGATTGGATCCTGGAACAAAAAGAGTACCCGTGTGGGAAAGCTGGCCAAATTGAGTGAGGCCAAGACATTAGTTAATAGTATTTTATCGACGTTATTTCCTGGTTTCATGATGTTTATGCAAGATATTAGCTTCGGTTGTGACTGGTGAAGGGTATGTGTGAGTTCTGTACTATTTTTGCAACTTTTCTCTAATTCCAAAATTATTTCATAATAAAAAGTTTTATTTTTTTATTTATTTTTCCCCCAAAGCCCCAGTAGATAGTTGTATGTCACAGCCGCACATCCTTCTAGTTGCTGTATGGGGGATGCCGCCTCAGCGTGGCCGGAAAAGCAGTGCGTCGGTGCGCGCCCGGGATCCGAACCCGGGCCGCCAGTAGCGGAGCGCACACACTTAACCGCTAAGCCACGGGGCCGGCCCTAAAAAGTTTTTAAAAAGAGGATGTCATGAGGGGGCCGGCTGAGGTGGCATCCCCCATACAGCAACTAGAAGGATGTGCAGCTGTGACATACAACTATCTACTGGGGCTTTGGGGAGATAAAGGGAAAAAAAAGGAGGAGGATTGGCAACAGATGTTAGCTCAGGGCCGGTCTTCCTCAGCAAAAAGAGGAGGATTGGCATGGATGTTAGCTCAGGGATAATCTTCCTCACAAAAAAAAAAAAAAAGAGGATGTCATGAAATACAAAGACTGAGGAAATGTCAGTCAGATTAAAGGAGACTAAAGAGGGCCGGCCCCATGGCTCAGCAGTTAAGTGCGCACACTCTGCTGCTGGCGGCCCGGGTTTGGATCCCGGGTGTGCACAGACACACTGCTTCTCCGGCCATTCTGAGGCCGTGTCCCACATACAGCAACTAGAGGGATGTGAAGCTATGACATACAACTATCTACTGGGGCTTTGGGGGGAAAAAATAAATAAATAAAATCTTTAAAAATAAAAAAAAAAAAAGGAGACTAAAGAAACATGACATTTACATGTATATGACAATCTTCTTTTGTTATAAAAGACATCACGGGGATAACCAACCTAGGATTATATAATAGAATTGTATTGATGTGAATTAACTGATTTTTTGATAACTTCACTACAGTTATATAAGAGAATGTCCTTGTTTGTAAGAAATTCACATTGAAATACTTAGGTTAGGTAAAGAGGCATCATGTCAGCAACTTACTCTCAAATGGTTCCAAACAATAATATGTATATACAGAGAGAAATATATGGACAAAGCAAATGTAGTGAAAGGTTAACATTTGGGGAACTAGGATAAGAGAATAACAGAGTTCTTTGTACTTTTCTTGCACCATTTTTTTAAGTTTGAAGATATGTCATAAAGTAAAATAATAATAAACCATGTAACCCACTAACTCACTCACTGGAAGGTTATTTAATTTTGTGACTGCCATTTGTTAAAAGAACTTTAGTCAGAATTTGCTACTCTATTATTTCTACCTGGTTCTATTCCTAGAGCTCACAGAAAAAAACTGCAACTTACATTCCTTTTCTCCAGAGACCCACTTTCACATCTCTCTCCAATGATCTCTTCTCCAGACAAATATACACAGATTTTCCTACCACTTTTCAAGAGACATAGTTTCCAGACCCTCCACTATCCTGGGCTCCCACCTCAGTATATGCTCCAGTGTATCGAAACACTTCATAAAATGCTGCTCCCAGAATCACGGTGAATCCTGTGATGGTCTAGTCATTACAGGACACAGGAGGACCATGACCTTCCAACTAGACTCCATGAGTTAATGGAAAAGGCAGAATCTCTAGAGTCGTCTAGGTGTGGTAGGAACCCCACCTCCAACACCACTCCCATCCGTCACTCTGCTTACACTGCAAGGAAGTGACTTCAGCGACTTCACTGGGACAGCGTCACTTTCATCTCTTCTCTCTTTTGACCATTTCAATTCTTTCCTACTTCTTGTCTTCACATCTTTTGTTCTTTGCTTCTGTTTTTAAAAGAGGTGGGAATATAAAAGTAACAAAAGTATGAACGAAAAAGTGACCCAATCAGGTATAAAAGTTCCTCATAGCAACTTTCCTTACAGAAATGAGGTACACACAGTATTTCCAACTAATAAACAAGCTATCAATTTGATTTGCTAAACAAACTTTTCTGAAGGTATAATGAATGCTCGAGAGGAAGAGCACCGGACACTTCAGGCATGAATGGAAACAGGCCTGCTTACCCAGAGTCCACCCAGTAAAGAGGGAAAGTGGATGACGCTATGAACTGCTGGAGAGTTTCCAGGCTGGAAAAAAATCCTCAGGTAGGGAGGGCAAGGAATATATTGAGGAGAGAATCTGCAAGTTAATGGCACTTTTGTCAAGGTCACTCGTCCTTTGCAGGACTTTTTTTGTCGCCATTGTTTTGTTTTGAGGTAACATTGGTTTATAACATTATATAATTTCAGTTGTACATCATTATATTTTGATTTCTGTGTGGACTACATCATGTTCACCACCCAAAGACTAATTATCGTCCGTCACTGGGCACATGTGCCCTTTTCCTCCTTTCACCCCTCCCCTTTGCAGAACTTTTCGAACCAAGCATAAGGTAGATCTTACCACAAGAACCCACGGTATCGGCAATGAAAGAATTTGAAAACTAAGTAAAATAGTTTTTAGCTATTGTAGGCAAGTAATAAATCAGAATGTCTATTGAAATTAAATTTGCTTCATTAAAAAAATTGGATACTACTATGTATATACACTTAAGATTTGTACATATTTCAATGAAGCATTTTTTAAAAGTTCTGTTCCCGGGGATAGAACAGACACAGCCACACACAGCTCCGCACACACTGACAGAGGGGTTTTGGTATAGCCAGCCCACAGCAGTCAGACACAAGAACCAGAATCAGCATAATTGGGTCTTGACTTGACATCGAATTCACGACAGATCTCGAGGACAGAAACTGAACTGGCAGTGAGATCTAGTGGGCTGAAAGTACAATTCCACGTGTCACGTTCTGTGGTTGCTGGAGTTTCCAGGCCTAAGTCAAGCCCACATTTAATAACAGTAACAGCAGCAGTATGTTAACTACGGTAAGCCTTCTGCACGTCACCTTTTCAACTGCACAACGACTGTGAAGCAGAGATTTAATTTTCCTCATCTGACAGATTGAAGGGCCAGAGTTGATTCTGAAACCTGGGTCTGGCTGAAACAAAAATCACTGCACTTTCAACCAGGCCCCTGCTTATTTGCACCCTGTGCCAGGCACCATCTCAAGCATTTAATCCTCACAGTACTATTAGCTTTTCAAGAAATACTGCCCCACTTGACACATGAGCAAACTGAAGCTCTGAAAAAGTAAATGATTAGCAAAAAGTCACACAGCCTCTCTAGATCTCAAAGGAGTCGTCAACAGAACACCCACAGACACGCATCAAGGGTCACACAGGAAATCCCACAACCACACGGGGAACCACACAACGCACAGCACAAGCCACCAGACACACCTAAGGGCTGACACCCCGGCTCCACACATCTCCAGGAACCGGCCTGCCCGCGATGAAGGTCACACATTCCCCGACCCCGGCATTATCCGAAGGGCCCTCCCCGCCACCGGCCCCCGGAAATCCAGTACCTGCTGATCCGAGAGGCCCCGCCCCTCCAGGAGGCGGCGGGAACCTACTCTACGCGCCTGCTCAGCCTCCCCTCATCGGGCTCCCGGGTACACGAAGCCACGCCCCCAAGGATGACCACACGCATGCGCGCTCCATCACTGGCGGACACCTTCCCTCTCAGGCACACACCAGCGACCCAATGCGCTGAGGCCCCGCCTCCATGGACGCCAGTACGCATGCGCGATCTATTCCTGAGCCCTACCCCGTCATCCCAGGCCCGAGAGACAGGTGCAGGAGGCCATGCCCTTTCGGATAAAGGTTACCCGCCTCATTAACAAACCTAGAAACTCCCAGTCTTACTCCCGCCCCTCGCTACCGAAGTCCCGGCCCCTAGCTGGCCAGGATCCCGTGGGATTCTGGACTCAGGGACAACAGCGATAGGACTGCATATGCGCACACGGAGGCTTCGACGACTCCCAGAAGCCACGGCGGCGCGTGGGTGGTGCTGGGTGCTGAGGTCGGCACTTCCGGTCGGCGGGGTTTTGGGAGACCTCGGTGGGTTTTGTGGCTGCTTCTCCTTCCTTGGGCCGTGTTCTCTTGACGCCACGCGGGGCGAGGACAGGTGTGAGGCGTGGGTCGCGCCGGGGTGGGGTGGCCGCGCCTCGGATCTGCTCCGGGGAGGGATGGGCGGTGAGGTCGGTGCCGGTCGGACCTGGCGTCGAGGCCTGTGAGCTGGGAGTTGTTCCGTGTGGGTGGGGGTAGCAGGGTGCGTGCGTGGTCAGTGTGATGGGGTGTGTGTGCGCGCGCGCGCAGCGAGTATTATTAAAACCACTGTCGTTAACTTTGTTAATGATTCTATCCCAGCATTGAACAAAGCCCCCGTTACGTTATTTGGGAACCAGCGCTGCACACTAAACAATGTTGCATCTTGACAGTGAAATTTTTCTTGGAGTTTATTCAAGGACATGGTTGAAAATGGGTGGCAGTGGGTTCGACATTCTGGTTTTTTAAAGTTTGCCTACTTCTCCTTAGCTCCGCATTCCCAGGACTCTGTTCTTCCTCTGGAGAGGGACCCAGCCAAGTGGGCATTAGGCGTGTCACAGGTAGGTCTTTGTTTTATCTTTGTTTCCTGCGACATCATGTTTCTTCAGTCCTGGAAACATCTAGGCTGTACTCAGGAAACTTGCTTGGGCAATAGAGACTGACAAGGGGACAAGGTCCGATGCCTTTCATTCCAGCAAAAGATGGGACACCCTCTTTCTCAGTGTCCCTCTCCTCTACTTTCAATGTTCATTTTTTATGCAGTGTGTTACTCGAAGTCTCCACTCTGACCTTCTTCTGAGCCCTTTTTGGGGTCAAAGATATGTCTCCTGGAGGGAAAGATAAGAGCCTTCATTTGGAGACTGTCATCTTCTTGAAGTAGAGGTGAATTCTCAGTCCTCTGTGACCTTCTTCACAGCCTTGGGACTGAGAGGGAGTAAGACAGAAAATACAGTTGGTTGGTTCAGTCACAGTAGTGGTACAGTCTGCCTCTGGAACGTTTAGGGAATAGGAATGTGATTGATGCCTTGAGCATAGAAGTCCAGTTTATCAGGGTGGGGAGATTTAAGTAGGCACCAGTAAAAGATGAAGTGTAGGATCCCGGATTAAATTTGAGGTTGGATAGCTTAAGCTGCCCTGAGTCAGGAATCATCTGTGGAATTCAGGGAAATACTTGATCTGCTCTCTGTAAATGAGGAGCAAGACAGTATGCCATAAAGAAGATTGGTGAGCTGGCTGTATTTCCTGGAGTAGGGCTACCTGCAGGCTGGTTGCATGGGCCTTGAAATTCTATGCAGGTACAAGCAGATTTGATTCTTTCTAAGCCCTCTAAATGTAGAAATTAAGGCATTTTACTGTGGAAAACAGATTTTTTCTTCTCCAACAGGAAACTCCTATTTTCTTTCTTTTAGGAAAAGAGGCAGTGTTTTCTCTACATGTGCTATTTGTTATGATAACTCAGATTATTTTTGAAGTTGCTAAATTATATTTCAAGAGAAAGCTATAAAAATATTTTAACAATCTTATATATGCCCACCATGCAGAAAAATTTTTTTTTACCATTTTATTCTAGTTTCTTTCTGTGTTTTGGTAATATGAAATATCTATGCCTAAGGCTTTTTTAACCACTACTTCTTGTCACATTGTCACATGTCACTTGTCACATGCTTCCTTTACTCTGTTGATATTTTTGTATGTTATCATTGTAATTGAGATATAATTTACAAATAATAAAACACGGATATTAACTAGGTAGTTTGGCTATTGATTACAGCCCTGTAACCGCCACTATAATCGAGATAGATTTCCATCACTTGTGAAAGTCCCTTCATGCCCTTTTCCCTGCCCTTACTCTGAGAGGAAACCACTTTCTTTTTTTTTTTTTTTTTTTTGTGAGATCAGCCCTATGCTAACATCTGCCAATCTTCCTCTTTTTTTGCTGAGGAAGACTGGCCCTGGGCTAACATCCGTGCCCATCTTCCTCCACTTTATATGGGACGCCGCCACAGCACAACTTGCCAAGCAGTGTGTCGGTGCGTGCCGGGATCCGAACCTGTGAACCCCAGGCTGCCGCAGCGGAGCGTGCGCACTTAACTGCTTGCGCCACCGGGCCTGCCCCTGTCTTGTTTTTATGACAATAATTTGTTTTGCCTTTTTTTTCTTTTGACTTCATATAAATGGGATCAAGTAGTATGTATGTTTGTATGTGTCTGGCTTCATTCATTCAACGTATGTTTTTTGAGAATCATTGGTGATGTCTATTAGTAGTTTATTCTTTACTGAGTAGTATTCCATGGTGTTAATATACTACAATCTGTTTATCATTTTCCTGTTAATAGACATTTGGATTGTTTCTGGATGTTTGGCTATTATGAATAAAACTTCTATAAATATTCTTGTACATGTCTTTTTGTGATACTTTAGAAGATGTAGTTATAGAAGAAATACTGGGATCTGAAGAGCATCAACAAAAGTCATTCATTAAAATAATCTATAGTGACAGAACTCAGGGTTTCCTAACGAGAGGTGATAGTGTCTGGAAGGGGTACTGAGGAAACCTGGAGGTGCTGGTAATGGTCTTTCTTGATCAGGCTTCTCCTTACATGGGTGGATTGCTTTGTGAAAATTCATCATGCACATTTAATGTTTTGTGCCTCTTTTGGTGTGCATTTATGTTGCGACAAAAATTTATAAAAAGAGCAGTCATTCATACTGAAGATTTCTTTTTGTTGTTGTTGAGGAAGATTCGCCCTGAGCTAACACCTGTTGCCAGTCTTCCTCTATTTTGTATGTGGGTTGCCGCCACAGCATGGCTGCTGACAAGTGGTGTAGGTCAGCACCTGGGAACTGAACCTGGGCCACCGCAGTGGAGCATGCCAAGCTTAACCACTAGGCCATGGGGTGGCCTCCATACTGAATGAAGATTTCTTGGGCCAGCCCCGTGGCTTAGTGGTTAAGTGCGCGCACTCTGCTGCTGGCGGCCCGGGTTCGGATCCCGGGCGCTCACCGATGCACCTTTTCTCCGGCCATGCTGAGGCCATGTCCCACATACAGCAACTAGAAGGATGTGCGACTATGATGTACAACTATCTACTGGGGCTTTGGGGGAAAATAATAAATAAAAAAACTTACTAAAAAAAAAAAAAGATTTCTCAAACCCCACATTCAAGTGAGAAAAGAGAAACTTTTTTTCCCTACTGGGAAGATTAGAGCTTCCATATCACATTTTAAATTGTCATTTCTTAAAAAGTGCTATATGGTTATTGTTGAGGTTTGACAGTACAAGTACATAACAGGAGAAAATAAATGTCATCTGTAATTATATAACTCAGAACCACTTTCATATTTTGTTGTAAAACTAGATGCATTTTTATCTCCACAGTTCTCTTTCACTTTGTCTCTTTGCCTGTATGTGTAATTTGTGAACTGCTGTTCTTCATATAGATACATAAATAGATTTTTTATGACAAAGCATTATTAAAAATAATTTAATGGTTGTGAACTGTATATTTACTAAAAATCATTGAATTATACCCTTAAAATGAATTTTATGGTATGTAAATTATAATTCAATAAAGCTATTAAAGATAAATAATTTAAAATTTGGTAGAAGGTGAAAGTGTTATGTATTTCTGCTACCATGGGGGTACCTTGATGTTCTTTAAGTTGACACAACAGAAGAAAGCAGTTTATATGTTGGAGCTAAACTTTGTCACTGTGGTGCAGAGATCATTCCATGTTCAATACAATAAAGTTTCAATGGCTTTTGACCTTATGCACTCTTGGTACAAACAGATGCTGCAGGGGCTGGCCCCATGGCATCGTGGTTAAGTTTGATGCATTCGGCTTTGGTGGCCCAGGTTCGTGGGTTCGGATCCTGGTTGCAGACCTACACGGCTTGTTGGCCATGCTGTGGCGGCGACCCACATATAAAGTAGAGAAATATTGGCACAGATGTTAGCTCAGGGCTAATCTTCCTCAGCAAAAACAAAAATCAAAAAAAAAAAACCAGATGGTGCAGACAAGGTGTTAGCTGGAAGGGACAGCATAAGGCAATTACAGGTGGTTGAAATCATTGTGAATCATAATTGTGTTAGGGTTCAGTGAAGTCTCGGATGTTGGAAGGGATAACTAGCCATGAACCAGGCATCCTCAGTCCATCCCCTGACTCATTCTCCACATGCAGCTGAAGATGAAACCTAACTCCTTGCTAGTCTTGCGGGCCCTGATAGAGGCAGATGAGGGGAAATCATAACACGTCTCCTGCAGTTTTCAGAGGCACGCTGTCTCCACCATTTGTTGCTGCACAACAAACTCAACCTAAAATGAAGTAGCTAGAGCAAGGACCTTTTTTTTATTTCCTATGATTCTGTGAGTGAGAAATTCAAACTAGGCATGTGCTGCCTGCTGGGGCTGGAATATCCAAGATGGCCTCTTCATTCACAGCTGTGATACTTAGAATAGCTGGGGTCCTATGTCTAGGCCTCTGTCTTTGCTGCCAGCTGGGTTCCTCAGCTTTATTCCATGTAGTCTCAGAACCTGTCCCTCTTCACTTGACCTCTTCATACGGCCTTCCCAGTGGGATGGCTGGACTTCTTGCCCTGAGCTTCCATGAGCGTAAAATAGAAGATGCCAAGCCTTCTTTTGGTTTTGACCTGGAGCTGGCACAGTGTCATTGCTGTTACATTCTGTTGATTA